AGGGAAGGGAAGGGAAGGGAAGGGAAGGGAAGGGAAGGGAAGGAAGGAAGGGAAGGGAGGGAAGGCAAGGGAAGGGAGGGAAGGGAAGGGAAAGGAAGGGAAGGGAAGGGAAGGGAAGGGAAGGGAAGGGAAGGGAAGGGAAGGGAAGGGAAGGGAAGGGAAGGGAAGGGAAGGGAAGGAAATTTTGGAGAATCAATCAACAAGGAAATATTAAGCACCTACTATGTGCTAGGCTCTGCCCCCCCCCAAAAAAAGAGGAACAGTCTAGTCCCTTCAAGTTTATATTTATTTTTTAAAATAATTAAATAAACAGACAAACAAACAAATAAAAGATCTAAAGACTTATTTAGCCCTTGTTTACAAATAAAAGGGGGGTGCAGAAAGCAGGCAAATGAAAGCTGATCTAAATAGACATGACAGTTAACTGGGCCTAAATTCATCTGTTCTCTCAAAAAAGAAATAGCCACTTGCTGTGTGGGGTTTTTTATTATTATTGTTATTACTGCACTGTATACTTATGACCTCATCAGGTTGGCAGTGATCCCTGGGTGTGAAATCAGCCAAGCACTCTGTGGGCCAAGGACCTGTCAGGCCCCCACTCTGCTTCTACAGCACAGATGATGACGCGATCTCTCTGCATAGGGGACCCCTTGGAGCTATCTCATCTGCACTCCCACAGGCAGAGAACAGCCTTCCCCAAGATGCGATTGTGGTACCCAATAACAATCCTGACAAATTCCTCCCTGGATTTGCATTAAATAAAAAAGACAAGTGAAAGCCTCCAGCCCTGTATTTCCCATTCACTTGGCCTGGGCTCTGGGCCACCCTCAGTTTCTAATTAGTAAGAATCTAGGAAAAATTCTCAAAATGTAAGGAATGGTGAGAAGACTTCCTTCTTGGTGCACATTTCTGACTTTGGGGAGAGATGAGTGACTCCGGGAAGCCCTCCTGTTAGCCAGATGCCATCTGGGAGGGAGCCTGCTCCTCTGTGGCTTCATTTAAACAGTTGTTTTCGGGACCAAGTATCCAGGGACCAAATGCTTAAATATGACACCTGTGGACAGAGAGTCATCGACCTGGAAGGGACTTTGGATGCCATAGAGTCCAAGCCTCTTATTTTACAGATGAGGCCCAGAAAGGGAAAGTGACTTTCTTTCCCAAGGTCACCATGGTAGTAGCCAGCAGAACTAGGATTCGAACCCAGATCTTTCTAACACAGAAGTCAGCTATTAATTTTATCATCTACTTCCTTGAAAAGCAGCCTGATTGTTCCAGTGTGGGAACTTCCTCCCCAAGGCATTGTGGAGAGAGCATGGGGCCTGGAGTCAGAAAGATCAAGGCTGGAACCCTGCCTCAGACACTCACTGGTCGTGTGACCCCGGGTCAGGCGCTTACTCAGCTCAATTTGCCGTCCTGTTCAATGCAAATGATAATCTACCTCGAAGGACTTTGTGAGGATAAAAAAGGTAACAGACACAACGAGCGTCACAAGCCTCCAAGTCTTAGGGAAATCTCAGCTCTTACCATCATCACTATTATCCCAGAGACCCCTGAAATAGTCGATGTTCACGAAACCCTGGCGTACTCTGTCGTTCTAGTTCAGGTGTTTCTGTCATGTCCAATTCTCCGTGACTCCATTTGGGGTTTTCTTGGCAGAGATACTGGAGTGGTTTACCATTTCCTTCTCCAGCTGATTTTACAGATGAGGAGACTGAGGCAAACAGCGTTACTTGCCATACTAGGAAGAGTCTGAGACTGGAGTTGAACTCATGAAGGAGTCTTCCTGACTCCAGGTCCAGCACTCGGTGCACTATGGCACCACCTAGCTGCCCCTCTCCACCTTGCTGCCTAAGTCCAAATTCCATCCAGGATATGATGTGTGACACTGAGCTAATCACATAACTTCTCTGGGACTCAGTTTCTTTATCTGTAAAATGAAGGGGTTGGAATCAATGACCTCCACGGCCCCTTCCAACTCTCCACCCTATGACCCTATGACTCTCGAGTTTAGCCATCGTTGAGCCAGTCCAAAAGACCTCTTAAGACATGGAGCTTGGCTCACAAAGTCTCCCTCGGAAGATAAAGTAAATCCTGGGACCTGGTTTGTGAACAAGGTCAATAACATAGGATCATAGTTCAGAATTGGAAATTACCCTGGATGTTGTCTGGTTCCATCCCCTCATTTTCCTGAGGGGGAATTTGAGGCCCAGGGAGAGTAAGCGGGACCAGGGGCTCCTGGGTAGGGAGTGTACGGTATGCAATCAGGAAAGAAGACATCTTAATGCTTTTTTTCTTTCTAAATAATTATCTTGGAAAGGCTCATTTCTGTCTTTACTCCCCCTCTCTCCCTCCCCGACATCCATAGTTTTGGGTTGCTGCCAGCTCTCTCTGGTCTCAAACCCCAGGGCACTGGGGGAGAAGGGACTTGGAGAACTGAGAAGTAATTGTTTTGTATTCCGCCTCTGCCCTCTGGGCAATGTTAATTTGATTTGGTAAATCACTGAATTCTGTGCCAAAAAAAATTATTTATGATGACAAGGAACACTTCCCTGCCCCCTCCTTTGCCTTCCCCTCCTTCAGCCTGGCTCTCTCCTCATTAAGTATCTTCTGACCCAGTGGGGAGTCAGGCAGCTGGATGCCAGGCCTGTTACAGGGCAAGAGGACAGCTCCCCATCTCCCCCTTTTCCACTCTGGTCTGGAGACTATTATCGCTCCCCCCAATGGCCTGAGTGATCCGATGGATGGGGTCCTTTCAGACTGCCCAGCAAGGTGGGGGGGGAAAGAAGGGGAGGGAGGAGGGGAGGAGGGAGAGGGAGATAGAGACCTAAATAAAGAGCCTAGTAATCAGATCTCCTGCTCTCCTGTGCCTTTGAAATAAAGGTCATCCAATATCTGAATCTCTTATCCTGGGGATAGCTGTAAGATTCCTTTTGGAAACAAATGACAAGCTGCCCTCAAAAAGCAAATTGATTTTAATAATGACAATCCTCTCTTTCAAAAGCACAGACCAGACCCCTTATATGGAGCATCTGTGGTATGGCAACAGAAAGTCTGAATTTCCCAAATTGTGGGACCTTTTAAAGCTGAAATCTCAATTCTAAATCGCTATGTAAAAGTATACATTATTATTATTAAAATCATTTGGGGCTTTGAGTACAAGGAGGAAGCAGCTACAGAAGAGATACACACACACACACACACACACACACACACACACACACACACACACAC